AACAACGGGCAGAGAGTCGAGTAAAATAAGTCACTTGCATATAAAGTCGGGATCTACTATTCTAACCCAAAAGCTTAAGCTACTCCAACAATGATAGAGTTTAGGATTAGATGTGGATAACTGGATTGAGCAATAAGACACTTGAGTTGAATCACATTAAAAGGTTGAATCCAATAGATTAATTAGTTTAACTCAAGAGTTTATATACCGATTATTTTATTTTTGGATTTCTGATGTGAGATGCACTCTAACACTCCTTCCCAAGTGGACAACCGAACCATTTTGAATCTAATCAGTTGACCACTTGCCAATGGACTTTCATTCTCTTGCTTTTTTTAGCGCCAACACCTAAGGGATCACGAGCCGCTGGGTATAGATTTCTAGACGAGCAATCTTTTTAAACGGGTCACAGGTTGTTGGGTATGTACTCCATACAAACAACTGGGCTAAAGACTAACGGGCCGCTAGAAATGAACTTCTAGACGGACACCTTGACAAACTAGGTGGGCCAAAATCTGCTTTGATACCATTATAGAATTTAGGTGGGCAAAAACCCGCTTCGATACCATGAGAGAATTTAGGATTGAGTGTGGATAACTGGATTGGGCAATAAAACACTTGGATTGAATCACATTAAAAGATTGAATCCAATCGATTAGTTAGTTTTACTTAAAAGCTTCTATACCGATTATTTTACTCTTTGATTTCTGATGTGAGATGCACTCTAACAGATTTGACACACACACACATGTGGATATATTATTGCTATCTAGATTCATATTTTGGGTAAACAGTCACTATATTGTCAAACTTGTTGGTTAAGCTCTACATTAGTAACACTATTTATGTTATAAATAAATAGGATGCACAGGCAGCCCGAACATGTAATGACATTCCTTTTGGCTGAGTTGGGTACAAGTGGATCACTTGATGGACAGCAACGGTTGGTTATCAAGGGCAGATTCCTTCCCAAGAATTTTGAAGGGCTCCTCCGTCGATACGTCAGTAAGTTGTTTTGTCTAAACCAATTTTAGATATTTACAGATCCTAAACCAAGTGCTCAAGAAACTTGATTCTCCTTGATTTCCAAGAACAAACTAAATAGAAATAAATATTTTACAAATATAGCCATAGTAAAGAGGTTCTCTTTGTTGCTCTTTTCGTTGCTGCATCTTTTAGCAACAACTGCATGCATTCTTGGTCAGTATGGAACACTTATTTATTGCACTTTTTTTTCGTTTTGTTCAGATGAGTATGTTATTTGTAATGGCTGCAAAAGCCCGGACACTATTATGATGAAGGAGAACCGTCTTTCCTTCCTAAGATGCGAGAAGGTATACTCAACTGTTTTTATTTTCGTACACCGAAAGCCCTTATACTGAATAGATTTTGTACTTCTTGGAAGCGGCCTCTTGCAAAAAATGCAAAGGTTTGCCTAAACCACACTCTTATGGTGAACCTCTTTCCTGGGTCCTCCTTAAGAAGGATGGTCATAGTTTTGATTTCATTACTGAGCTTATAGTTCTGAGTTGTCAAACAAGTCAAAAAACACTATTATTGAGCTCATATCTTTAAACTTTGCAGTGTGGTTCTGGGAGATCAGTTGCCCAGATCAAACAAGGTTACGTTGCTCGTGTTGGGCGCCGGAAGGCTGGAACTTAGGGCTGAGTTTGTCGTTTCTCTCTTGAATCGAAAGATATTTTGCCCAATATTTTTTAAGCTTTGAAGTATGCAGAAGTATACCCCGAGTTTGACTGCCCTTGTGAAATTAAAATCTTTGTCAAGTTTTGGATTTATTTGCTTATTAAGAAGAATACTGTATTGTTTGTGTTTGTTTTCTCATGTGGTTTATGAAATTGATTATTATTGTGTTTCTTTTCACGAACCCCATTTTTCTTCCCCCAATAAATAACTCGTGTTGTGCCCGCTTGGTTCTGCTTTTTGGTAGTTTAGCATCATTCCTAACGAATTGCTCTACTAATCTACTCACCCTTTCAGTCTTTGTAAAAACAAATTCTCCCCGTCTCGTCCAAGTTGATGGCTCCTATGGTGCACCTTGATTTTATATCATTTTTTTTATTTTTTATTAAAAAAAATAGAAGCATATTTAAATAGTAAGGAAACATTTTTTGTTCATATGTGGAATCATTTGGATCTCAAGTCTACCAAAAAATTTGACGTCCAAGTTTAGTTTAGGGCAAATTTTATAGCAGGCCCAAGGTTCTCTATGAACTTACCTGATCTAAATAGAACCTCGACCTTGAAAACTCCTAAGCATACCTCTTTTGATCCATTCGTATATAGTTGACTTAGGCTTATCAATGGCACCAACTAATGATCTTGTAGTAGTCCTCTCCCGGAGCGGGGTGTTTGCCATAGCCTTTACATCCATTGTTGCCCTTTTTCTGTCACAATTTCTTGCCATTTTACTTTTCACATCAATGGAAATGCCTTGCTCTAATTGTTTAATTGCTATGACTCATATGCTACTCACTGTCTTTCTAGTTACATTAAACTATGTAGCAAGCTTATTGATTTGTCCATATTGAACTAAGAACCTGTTCTTGTAGGGCTTAAACTCTTAACTTTCAGTTTCTTCTAGTTTCTTCCAGTTTTTTCAGTTCCTTCTACAAATTTAGAATATAGAAAATACTAACAATTCATAATTTAGTCATTTTATTTCTCATTCTTGAAACATTGAATCGTTTGTTCTAAAAAAATTGAACCGATTTTACTACACATTTCGTGCATTACTCTTGTGAAAGCATTATTTTTTTTGAAAGAATTCGTATATACCCCATCATTAAGGCTGTAAACGGATAATATTTGCGACGGATATGGCATATCTGAGTCTGAATTTGATTACTTTTGAGATATTCAAATTTGTATCTATATCCAACGGATACTTACATTTCTATATCAGAATCTGTAACCGATGGATTATTCCCAATTTCGAATATATCCTAATCTGATTACATATCCAAAACCGACCAAATATCCGTCCGACCGAATATCAATTTGTTCAAACCTGGAAACAAAAATATAAGATAGGGGCAAAGGGATTCGAACCCAGCAACTACAACCTTAAAATTCATAGGTGTAGCCATGCATATGGATAAAATGAAACAGTTGGTATTTGTAAACAATACATAATATATATTTGTTTCTTTATACATGTCATCTTCTAGTTTTTTAACAAAATAATCCACATCCAAATGTAATGCTTTGTATTTTTTATTTGAATAAACCTCGTAATATTTATAATTATATGCATATTTAATTATTTATATTATGTGATAATATTTTATTATATTCAAAAGTAGTTTAAAAAATGTGGAAATTTTTTATATTTAAACATAAATATGATTATTTTATATCAAGCTATGGGTCTTTGACCTGAGTCAACCCAGTTCGTCGGGTTGACCCTTGACCAAGTTGCTAGTTCAATTCGATGTCTGGTTTGATTTTTAGAACATTGTCGAATATCTTAAACCGTTAATAAGAAAATCAAATGATTACAAAAGGAATGTGAAAGTGAATATCGTAATACATAATTCTGAACAACATCGAATACATAAAAAAACCACTATCTTTAGGAAGAATATAAAGTCATAATTGACCAAATACTTTATGGAAGTGATGGTAAGAGACCCAAGGTTGGAGACTTAGAGGGTAAAGTATATTTTTGGATATATATGAGTCAAGTATAAATGTATAATGGACTGGATAGAGGATTATTTTTATTAGAATAGTTTTAATTCAGTATTTGGATAAACGGTTATTTAAACGGAGTACATCCAAATCAAATTTTAAACAAATCAGATATACAATTACCAAATCTGTATTTGTTTAGTAATCGGATGTTCTTAATCAGATTTGGATAAATCTGTTTAAAACGGGCATAAATTGTCACCGTTTAATCAAATACAAGTACGGACAGTAATCAAATCTGTACAATTTGACTTATACAAAATTTAAGAAAATTGTTTTAAAAAAATTAAAAAAAATACATTGTTAGAATTTACTTTCTATCCCTAAATGATATACGCAGTACAACTTTACTATTTGAACTTGTCAATAAGTTTTCTTTACTCATGAATTTTCATTAGTCATTTGGGAAAATAAAATATTTCTCTGACATCTTTTTTTTGTAAAACTTTTGTAGTTTTTAAATATATAATTTGTACATTTTATTTATATACCAATTTATTTAAAAAATCAATTTTAAAAAAATGAAATTTTACACGTTCTTCAAGTGTAAATGAATATGTGATGAAAGAAGTATTTAGATAAGAGAAACACTACGAGCTACATTTTCATTACCAAAATAGAAAATAAAGTGAAGTTTTTTTAGAATGTCCCAAAAAAGAAAATGTAAAGTGTTTTATGAGATGAATGGAGTACTTCAAATACCCTCGTCATGTTTCAGAATTTGGACAAAAGCCAGGTGAAAGTGAGTTAGTGACTATGTTTTCTTTGAGTTCGGTGACGTTAACACTATGTTTGGTTCAAAGAATTTGGAAGGAAAAGAAAAGAAAATGGTTTTCTCTCATTTTCCTCACCAAAATGGAAGGAATTTGATTTTCCCTCCACTTGGTACATTTTACCTTCTCATTTTCTTTCCCTTCCACTTTTCCTTTCTTTTCCCCTATAACCAAACAAGAAAAACTGTTTTCCACTTCATTTTCTTTTCTTTTTCCTTTCAAATTCCTTGAACCAAACATAGTGTAAAAGAAAAGGCCAATGGCTATAAGAATCAAGCTAAGGGCAGTCCAAGTGTGACATGCTTCCCCCCATCTTTTCACAAAAACATACACGCAGAGACAATGAACAAATAACACCGTTGTACTGAACGCATGTGTCCCTGTGAAGAGTAGGGCAAGTTTGGACATCGGAGTCAACACTTGGAGTGACCCTAACGCTACTCGTAATCATGTGAGTTCAGTGGTAAAATCGTAAAAATGAATAAAAATAAATGATATGATTAGCACATTGTAGTTTTGCTACACAATAGTTCATTTGCGCGAATCGCATTCCTGTCATCGAACCCATGAATAAACAAAACAAAAAAAAGAAGGAAAAGTGGCAAGGCCCTCATCTAATAATAATGCTAGAAAAAGTGATAGGGGGAGCATGGCCGACTGACTGAGTGAAGAAATCAAAAAGAGGGAAGTACCTTTGGAGGGGAATGTGCACATTCGTGACTGTTCTCTCAAGAAACGAAGAAATGTGGGGAGGAAAAAAAATCAATCGTCCCAAGCACCGTCTGCAGCTCCCTCTTTGCGGGCCATGGCTGGGGAAATCATGTGCCTGTAGCTGTCATCAACGTTTATTGTGGCAGATTGCATCAATGATAGCTTAGAGAGTCCATTGCTTGCTTCCTTATGTGCAGCTGCCGCTTCTCTCTCCTTCCTTCTTGCCGCCTACAAACATAAGGTTCTATAAATGGAACTTGAAATGGAAAGTGGATAAATCATTTTGGGACAACTTGAAATGGAAAGTGGGTAAATTATTTCGGGACAAATGGAGTAGCTCATTGTAAACATGACATTCTTTGCATTGTTTAAGATTGGACAAAGGTTATTACTCTAGTAAAAGACCAAAACTATGTTTGGTTCAAAGAAATTTGGAAGGAAAAGAAAGAGAACTGATTTTCTAGCGGGAGAAATTTAGTTTCCCCTCCTCTTAGTACATTTTGCCTTTTTTATTTTTTTTCCCTTTTACTTTTCTTTTCTTTTCCTCTCTAACCAAACAAAAATAATTGTTTTCTCTCTCGTTTTCTTTTCGTTCTCCTTCCAAATTCCTTGAACCAAACAATGTTGTAAGACTTTCGTGTAAACAGATTTTAAAAAAAGCTATTACTAGACACACATATAACTACAAGTGCACAACCAGGCCTCTCGCCATATAATGCCTTAAAACATAGTACTGCTATGTTGCAGGGAGAAAAAAACACGACTGGAAACAAATTTTTTTAATGAAAACGATTGTTTGAAAGGTAAACCTTACTTTCAAAAGTTACTGTGCATCATAGCATACTAGTTACATTAGTATAAAGTCATATTATAACATCTACCTTCCCGGTTGCAAACGTAACAGGATTGCCGGACCCAACATCTGCAATTGCTTTCCTTATTTGTGTCACAAGAAACTGCATGAGGTAAAAAAGTAATTGTTTATTCCTTAATACATGAATACAAAGATGAGCACATGTGCACAGAGAAGAAGAAAATTACCATATCTCGATCAGTATAAAATGATGTGGCTCGCCCTGTTGATCCTGCACGACCGGTCCTACCAATCCGGTGTACATAATCTTCCATTGCCTACACAAAGCAACAGTCATTGAATTATGACTACCTCCATCCCAATAAAATAAGTAGTGTTTTGGGAATTCCCAAAAAGCGTCTGGTTTTAAAAGTCAACAAGTAGAATTCTAGTAAAGTCAAGGGGTACAAGTTACAAATCATAACTGGTAAAAATTTGCACCTTGGTAGAGTAAACTAAAATAAAAGTTATACCTCACTCACAAATGACTCTTTTTTGGGACGGAGAGAGTTAGACATAGAGTTGTGTCATGTGTGTACAAACTTCAATATTATAGACATTTTCAAGAAAATGAAAAGTTCCAATCTGGAAAGAGGATTAATTGTTAAGATGGCCATGATAATAATTTGTGCCATATGTGATCTCTCTCTCTCTCTTTTAAAGTCCATATCATTATTTGCTAAAAAAGAAGCTCCCAAAAAAACAAAGAAAAAAGAAAACTTGATAAAATACAACAGATCCCTGAAATGCTAAAACTGAAAAGTAATGAACTACTCACTACGTTCCCTAAAAAACTTCAATGTTTGACTTCATGGAGTTTACGAAAAAGCAGGGTTGCACCGAGACGGGGACAGTGAGTTATACGGGATGGGTCAGAATCGTGAAATGCCAATTTTTTCATAATTTATAAAGGACTTGGGTGTGGGGATGCCCCCAAGTACCCGACTGGGATGTTTCGGGAGACGAGAAGCGGAACCCGTTTGAAGAATCTGTGCAACATTGACGAAAAGTGTTTATATGTAAAAAGATTATAGTTGGAATTTGTTTAGAATAGAGAAAATGTTGTGAGCCACATATTTCTTTCTTTAAAAGAAAACAAGAGAAGTGTGAAGTTTCTTTTGGGACATTCAAATAAGGAAAGAGAAGTTATTTATGTGACAAAGGAAGTATACATGAAGATTATATACTTCCTCCGTCCCATATCTTTCTTCCCCTTTGACTTTTCAAATCTCCAATACAACATTTTGAACATTTAAATCTCTATTTATATATGGACAAATAAACCTAATGATACTAAATTTATATCATAATTCAACGTATTTTTTTCCATAATTTGATGTCAAAGTTTAAAAATGTTGATAGCAAACGTAGAAGTAGAAGAAAAATATGGGACAGAGGGATACAAGATTTCAAGATCAAATGATATGCTGCATGCACACATTTCTGTACCTTTGGAAGATCGAGATTAACTACATGAGCAACCCCAGCAACATCCAATCCACGAGATGCAACATCAGTGGCAACCTGCAGTTCAAGTTGTCTAAACTAACTTCAAAGGTGCATGAAAGTTCAACAAAGAGCCTTTTTTTTGTTTTCTTCTGTTTTTTGTGGGGTGAGGGTTTACAACAGAGGTGTATGAGTGTGAGTGTGTGTGTGTGTATGATTCAGGCACGAAGATAAAGAAACTGGTCTAAAGCTTATTAGAAATACTCCATAACAGAACTCAACAATGATTAATGGGGACCCCTACATACCAATATACTGCTAGGACCATGTCTAAAATCACGAAGGGCAGCCTCTCTTTCGCTTTGACTACGACCACCATGAAGCGCAGTTGCAAACAACCCCTGCTTCATCAGAGCCTCGGCAACTTCTTCACATTTTGTCTGCAGAAGAGCACAGTTTAAAGTGTGATAGAACATTTATACCAGTACATAAATTTCAGTCAAGTCCTTTTAATAATAATACGTTGAAACATTCAGTGGGTGGCAAAGACCACTCCACAGAAGAAAACAAATTGAAGCGACAAAATTACATAAGAATATTAAAGTATCACAGAGATCACTTTTACCTTCCGTTCCACAAAAACAATGGTCAGTGGAAAGGGGTGGCCAAATTTTTCAGATTGAGCAGACTCCTCAACAAGAAGATCTAGGAGCCGGTCAATCTATAATATTATACCAGTAACATATGAGTGGCTTATAAAAATTAAAAATAAACCTTGACTAACACAGTCCAACAGGAAAGAGAAAACATTGCATCAATGCTATTTTTCAAAACATAGAAGTTATAACACAAAAAATAACATGCCTTCTCATTTTCAGGAACTTTCTCCAAAATCTGGGATACATTTGTTGCTGGGCTGCTTACATTTCCAACCTTCACCCGGACTGGGTCAGTCAAGTATTCCTGCAAATTTGATTACTTAATGCAAATCAGAAGCAAGAAGTAAGGTCCATCCCCATCATATCAGAAAACATAATAGAAATGTATAAAGGAAATAGATTTACATCGACATCTATGGAAACATTCCCCCCAGTTGTTAAAAATTTAAATATCAAGAACTTAAGACTATGGATAAAAAGGAAACAAACAACTAACTTGTGTAAGTGCTTCAATTTCTGCTGGCATAGTAGCACTAAACAACAAAGTTTGATGCTTTTTCGGAAGGTTGTGCATCACCTACATAAGAGAAAATGAGCTTATTCACAACATAATAATGTTACTAAACCACTATTTTGCATAGATAGTGAAACACAGACAAACATGTAAAGAAATTAGAGACATTCTCTCTTGAAAAAGAATACTTATATGCAAAATTGCAAACATAATTTCAGAATTTATACAGGTAAACGTTGCAGTTATATTTTTTTAAAGAACACAATTGCAATAGTTACCGGTATAAATTAATGGAAGTATTTGTTATCCAATAAAATACCTCTCTTATCTGAGGCTCAAACCCCATATCAAGCATTCTATCAGCCTCATCCAATACAACAAATGATATTCTGGAGAGGGAAGTATTTCCTTGCTGTAAGTGGTCAATAAGTCTTCCAGGAGTAGCAACGATTATGTTTACCCCAGCTCGAAGCTCGGACCTCTGCCTTAGCATCCAGTAGAAAACAAGAATCACATAATATCATGAGATCAATAAAGATATAAACTTATACAAAGAGAAAAATTTAGAATGACGAACCATGAGCTTGTATTGAGTGGCAAAGTATTGGAATCTAGTTATAGACTTACAGTTACTAGTTACAATAATACAAACTGATAAATGCCAATGACCCACACAACTTGGAACCAGAATGTTGAACAAAAAAAATACCTGGTCACTAATGTTTGTCCCACCCACTACAATTGCTGTCCTAAATGAATCAAGAGATCTACTGAAAGCTTTAACCTGAAAGGATATGGTTGTAAAGCAAAAGTATGATTAAATGAAATTTTAGCTGTAACCATAAATGGTCGACATTTCAAAACAAAATTTACTCAGAGAGAAAAGATAGAAGATGTAAGTCTTAATTCCGGATAACTAGTAGCCAGTCACCGTATACTCATAGAGTCCTTACGTAAACTTCAATCAAAGAACAGAATACACACAAATGGCCAAAAGATGACAAAAAGATTATCAATAAGAACAATCAGTTCACCTGAGTAGAGAAGCCAAGTCAGAAGTCACATTATTGATATGTAAGTTTATAAATTCACAATACTTTCATTGATTGAACTAGATAGTATCTAGCATTGGGGAATAAGCAACTGAAGAGAGACAACTGACTACAATCCAAACAAAAAGTACAGAGCAACTTTAAAGCATCATTTAGTCATTGCAAATGCACCTCTTTTTCTATTTGTTGTGCAAGTTCTCTTGTAGGTGCTAATACCAATGCCAATGGTCCATCACCACGCTGAAGAGGACTCTGAGCTAGGCAGTGCTGCAAATCAGACATGTAGAATGTAGCATGACAAAAACTATAAGAAAACAACCACAAATAAATAAAAGCAAGTGATGATCAAAAATTAATTCCAGAGATGATACAGAATGTGGAGAAGTCAAAGAGGATAAATTAAGACCTGAATCATTGGTATAGCAAATGCTGCGGTTTTTCCACTCCCAGTTTCTGCACAACCCAAAAGATCCCTCCCACTTAGAGCAACTGGCATGGTTTGAGCTTGAACAGATGTGGGAATAGTATAACCATGGAGTGCAATATCCTTCATGATGCTAGGATGCAAGCACTGTGTAGAGAGAAATGTGAGCACATATGTCATTCTCAATTTTCAGACAAATACAAATGAAAATAATAAGTTAATTATTATTATCTTACCATGTCAGTGAATGATTCTATAGGTGGAGGTGCAGGATGTGAATCCGGAGCAACATCAACATCAACATTAAGTCTCAAACGAATTTCTTCTATCTATATACAAAAAGGAGTTTGTCAAAGAGTAGAATTCACACAATGAGAGAGAAGTACAACCCATCCTTCCCCTCGAGAATCTAAATGCATTTTTAGGAAACCAATCAGCTACATACCAAACCTGCTAGAACTTAGATTTTAATTTTTACTCTTATAACCAAAAATAGGAGTGCCAGTGTAGATTCTTTTGAATGATTGTGTGAGAAAAATATCAGAAGTGATTCTTATTTTTGCTGAGGTAAGGTCTACTATATAAATAAAATATTTTAACATGGTTTTTCCATTACCGAGTACATAGGCAAATAAATGTTCCATTTTTAGTCTTCAAAACACAATTGTCATCTTCAAAAGTCAAAACACAATTGTCCAGAGAAGAAGTATCCGACTCTAATTCTTCCTCAGGCAAACTATAATGCTAACAAAACTAATTTGTCGCCAAATTCCAGTCTTTTAAAAGTGAAGGTTGGTCTATCAGACAAAATTGAAGACTCAAAATTAAATCTACCACACCATTAGCAAACACATAACTCATTTTTTCCCTTCATTGGTGCCACTTTTATGGGTAAGAGATCATCCTAATCAAACAAAAATTGAACACAAAGAACACATCAAATCAGAGAATAGTGATCTCAGTCCGCAACAATTTCACATTTTGCCTGTTAATTTCATACCACGGTTAAATATTAGTGTCCAACTAGCCCGTGAAAGTATATAAATGGATAAAATTTGTAAACAATAACTCAAAAAATAAGAAGTCCATATTCACACCTCACAATCAAACCCTAAAAACAAAACAAACACAGCAGTAAATGCATAGAACCAGAACATCACTAAATAACAACGCACAAACGCGCATTAAATAATCTCACGTTCAGGAATGACGATTGAAAAAACACGAGCGCGACAATGAAAGTTAGAGATTAAGCCAGAACCTGTTCCGGTTTCAGCCGGGCAACACGTTCAGACGGCTTCCACTGAGTGAGGACTGGGTCGGGCACGTCAATAGCTCTCGGCGACGAGTAATTAACCGCAGCGCACGTGCTCCCGCCGCCAGACGCCTTGTATGAGTATTTACCATTACTGACGGCACCGTTCTTCGATTGAGCAAATGACGGCGGCATTTTGTAAGCGTCGTGGTTCGAGTGCAAGTGATCGCCGCCGTTGCTAACCACCGTAGTGGCGGCGGAGGACTTCCTCAGGTGGGGAGGTACGTAAGACATTGCTTGCTTGCTTTTTGGTATTGGCCCTGGATAAGAATGGAAAGGGTCAGTGAAGGAGGAATTGTAGGGAGGAAGAGGAACGAGCGAGGGAGTGAGCTCTGAGACTGTTGATCGATATTAACCCCAGATTTGGTTAAGGTATTTCTAGTTCTAGTATGAATGTGAATGATTTTGGCGTCTCAAACAAGGGAAAACTTTCAATAGTGTCATACTCATACCCAATATCACTAATTTAATTGTGATTTAAATTTTTTTAAAATAACTTTATTTCAAAATTTAAAATTTAAATCATATCTCTCATATTTTAGAAAGCATATCATATTATCTATTTATATGTATATTTTTAATTTTAATTATTCAAAAAGGTAATATAAATTGGGGCGAAGGGTGTCTTATAGTATATACGGAGTACGGAGTATTTCACAAATTTACTTGGGTCTGATGTCATTGACACCGGATTACTTTGACACTATGATGTCGATGTCTTTTTAGAACACCTACAATGTTTGTAAAAATTATGATTCCTACTCTTGATCTTTGATCTTAGCCCCACTCACGCTCTTCTTCTTTACGTCGATTAACTAGAATATATTTACTATAGTTAATCGGCAGATAATGAAGAGGGGCAAGTAGGGATGGGGTGATGGTCAAAGAGTGTTAGAGTGACAAACTACTGAGTGTCATTTTTGTGAATGAATCGCTATAAATGTCCTAATTCAAGCTAGTATTATTATCAGATAATATAAAGCTCAATGTCATCTAGTTCTTGGCGATTCACTCTATGCTATCTCTATCTTTATTTTTTTGAATGTCATTATAACACCTCAACCCGCATAATATGAACTAACAAGTCAGCAAATTCGGCTATTATTAATTTGGCATTCACAAGTACAATATTTTAAAAATATTAAAAAATAAAACATTCAATCATATTTATTTAAAACAAATCATAGTTTAATCGGAGTAAATAAAAAAACATTGTGGAAGTCTTCGAAATTAACATTCGACATTCTAGCAATTTAAGTAAACAAGTTCAACTAAATATATTTAATTTAAATAAACAACTTCGGGCCATCTACCAACATCACACTTCACTACGGTTCTTCAGGTTATTCCTCGTCAAATTCTTGATCCATTGTAAAAGCAAGGAGAGTGGAAAAATCTAATGCTAGAACTAACATATAGACTAACATCCATTGACATATAATCATATAATGTTAGGAGAATGAATAATTTACAATTATCAAATAGCATAATAATCGCTTGTTCGTTTCAAATCATTGCATAATCTTGTCATACTTAACATATTTGACTAAAGTCTAACAAAACACAATAGTCACGGACACTCCTGGAAGTAGAGTTGTAAAACGAACGAATCGAATATTGTGAAATTTCATTCATATTTGAAAAATGATAGCATTATTCATATTCATATTCGTTTTTTATTCAAATAATTATTACTATTCGTATTCGATTTGATATTAAATTCAAATATTCGTATTCGTATTCGTATTCTTTTATGAAAAACGATTTTTTCTTACGTTTTATAGATTTAAAAAATAGTAAAAAAATCACATTAAATAGGAGTAAAATATAGAGAAAGTACTAAAATATGAACTCCATATTTTATCTTTAAAATATGGAGTTTGCGCTGTGGTAATGTGACACTGAAAAACACTGTAAATGCATTTTAACTCCTATTTAGAGAATAAAAATATATAACTCCTATTTTGGTTTATTTTTAATGTTTACTTTTACTTTAGTCTTTTTACCAAAATTAATAGGGTACTAAAAATGACATGTCTACAACAACAACTTTGTTAAATCCAACGAGAGTAGAGATTGGAGAGGATGTGTGTAGGCAAATCTTGCCCCTACAAAGTACTCTGTATTATGAGGCAAACATATATTAGATATAAATTTCTATATTTAAATTCCAATATATTCATTAACATATCGAATCGAATACATATACATTCATATTCATGTTTGTTTTCTTTCGAATTTTAACAAATATTTATATTCATATTCGTATTCATTTTTTCGAATACGAATAATTGAATTCGAATACGAATCACGAATCGAATCAAAATTATTCGTTTGTTTTACAACCCTACGTGGAGGTGCCAAGAGATCAAGCTTGTAATCCCAATGGAAGGTGTCTAATTGAGCGGGTTGGAGCCAAGAGATAGTTTTTGTTTGTTTACTTATTTTTTTTTTAACAAAATGCAAATATTATTGATGACAAATCTCAATACAAAGCGTTCAATCAATAAAACATAAAAACATCAGCAAGAATACTTCACCCTTATTACATACTGAGATGAAAACTCCCCTTTGGCAGATAGGAACGTGATTGCATGATACTTGATGTTCTAGAGAGTATCCTCCATTGGAGTGAAGGAGTTCTTTTGTAGGGATAAGTTCCTTGCCTTCTAGATAAAATATGCACTTGTTTACTCGTTTTGGTTGACTATTTGATACAATAAAATATTTTTCTCGCATTTTGCTTTGTAGAACTTTCGATCTATTTTTTAACTGTGTAACTTTTTACTTTTTATTTCTCTACTAATCAATAAATAAAATGATTTTAAAAGAGATGATATTATACGCGTCGTTCAAAATGTTGCTTACATTTTGTAACAGAGGAAATATAAAATTTAATACATTTTGTCCCTCCATCCCCCTAAGATGTTCTCATTTTGACTTTTGGTGGTTTTTAAGGAGAGTTGAAAAAAGGTGAAAGTTTACCATAATACCCTTAATGAAATATGGGTGGAGTGTATCAAATGAGGCGGGTGAGGTGTAATAAATAAAGTAAGTGGGGGTAGTTATGGTATTTTAATTGTTAAAAAATGAAATGAGAAGATCTATTGTGGACACAGAAAAAGAACTATTGAGAAAATCTATGATGAACGGAAGGAGTATATTTTAAGATGAATCAATCATATTATATTTATATTATAATTAGATACTAAATATATTTTTCTCATAATTTATTTGACTAAAAAAAGAATTTGAGTCTTTTTGAGAATTGAGAGCAAGGAATACTCCGCAGTTAAAAAAGGATTAAATGGGAATATATCACTAATCCTCATTAGTAAGCTTAAATGAGAATATATCACTAATCCTTATTTAATTTTGTCTACCGTAGTTGTAAACACAAAAGCAGCTTTTCCGGTCGACTTCCGGCATTCACACTCCAGGCATCCGTGACCTCCGCTTTCCGGCGACCGTGTCCAATCGTCCCTACTCACCACATTTCATTTCCGTTCTGCAATCTCCTTCATTTCCCTAATTATCCAGGTCCGTGATGGAAGAATTTTTTTATTTCAGGTTTGAGATTATTTTTGTTACTGCGTATTTACTTGATAAATTATTCGATTTATCTGTTTATATCCGAAGATGATATGCTTTGGAAAATAATAATGTTTACATGTAGTTTAAAGTTTAAACCGGGGACTTTGCTGTCATAGTAGTTTTCTTTGCTAAATGGTGTATATGAGATGCCTGTTTACTGTTCTTCCGGAAATTCACAAGTATATACTAAATATGTATAATTATTTATTTGTGAAAATCATCCAGAACAAACTTGTTCTTTCATGATTGCTGAGTTTGCTGTCATTGACGACATTGAGAGTGTTTAGTAAATTTTCAAATGCCTTGATGATGCTCGTACTGGAGTATAATCAAAATAAATGAATTTAATTTAATAAATGTTCTCAATTTGATAATTTATAATGCAAATATATCGACAAGGGACATTGTGGATGGATTTTTCTGCGCCCGCATGGGTTATCTGAATAACTACATTTGATTAGTATTTTTAACTTCATGCTTTTAGTATGGTTTATGTTTGCCTCTTTCTTTTCCAATGTATCTACATTTATATTATATACATGCATTTATCACCTCATTTAACTCGGTTTGGATTAGGTTCTAAGAAAGTTACTCATTAATTTGCAATGCTACAATGGATGGGTGGATCAAGGAGGAAAGTTACCACCGTAAGTTTTGGCTGAAAATTGATTGTATATTCTTTTGCGTCAGCTTATATGTTTAGACATGTGAAGAACTTTGAACATCAATTACTTAAATACTCAATAATTCATCATATTTCTTCTGGAAAAGTATGTTCAGCAATCACTAGAGTTTTCTGTGTCTGTGTCTTGGTGTGATTGGGGCGTCTGATTCCTCAAGTAACTTAGTCTTGTCAGGTCTTGTTCCAGCTCACATCAAATAATCACTTCAGCACTCAATACTTTGTTTTGTTTCCCTCTTGTTTTATCCCTTTTGCATGCACAACCTCACACCCTCTGTTAATGTCATTTTCATGATACTGGGCGGACATTAGTCAAGGAATTCAACACTGAAAAGGTACAATAACAGCTCCTGCCTCTATTTTTTTTCGCGCCTATAACTTTTGAAGATCATTCTTTAACTTTTGGGATTTAACTGGGTTGTTGTTGTTGTATTTATGTTGATATGCCTCCAATTCTTAAAACCACAGGCAAAAGCAATACTTTGAGCAAAGAAGACAAAAACATCAGCATCATCAGACAGATGTTGAAAACTACCACGGAAATAGCCAATATAATCAGCAACTCAAAAACAACAAATCACTGGACGTTCTCAGTTTGCTGAACCTTTCAGTTATTCCGGGAGAATCTAACTCTGTTTGCCATCAAGGTTAGTTTATCTCAAATAGGAGAAAAAATATAGCGGTGGAAAGTTATACTCCTTGAGTACATTGGTTCTCATGCTTATCACATTTAAAAAAAATCAGATTGATTGGATACGCATATAGTTTTCTCTATAAAATACTGTTTCCATGCATTGATACTGATGCTGTGCATGACTCTAATTCCTCGATAAATTTCTGTTTAATCAGGAAAATCTGAAGGTGACGCTCTCATTCTGGACTATCAGACTAAGCTGTATCCTCAAACAGCGCACACAAATGAAGTTACTCAAATAAGCCCTCCTAGGATCAAGCTTGAAGGTGCTATTTCCTGTGAAGTATTTTTTTCTGCATTTTCCATGCAGTTGTTTGTAATTTGAATCCAATTGCATTTAAGACTCTACATGCTTGCAGAAAATTTACCATGTGATCTTGCTGATACGGAATGCATAAGAAAGTAAGCGTAATCATCTTTAAAGTTTGAAGTATTGATCTATCCATTCACAAAAAGTTCATTAGTGGAATACTCTTTGGCACCACCTACTTGAAATTTTCTAAATTGTGAAGGATATTCATCAGCTATATCTGTTTCTTTAAGTACATCTCTTCGCAAGTTTCATGTAGATGTCACATTTATTTTGTTTACATCAATAACAATGCTTCTCCAGAAACTACCAACCTTCTTTTTAAATATTTTTCCGCCACTTTTCCTTTCACATAAACCCAATTGCTTAGTCCCTGTCAGTTTTCCAGTTGGTGCACTCGAATCCCAGAAGAAAAGGTTGAAGGGTGATTGGAACACCTTAAATCAATCAAAGCTGCTCACTGAGAATCGTGAGTAATTTTGTTCATAATTTCTTTAGCCATTTGGGCCGTTAACTTTTTTCCGTCTCTAAAGAGCTGGGCTGTACAAATGTGAGAATGATAGTAATTTCAAGTCTTGTTGTTGAATTAGAATTAAAATGCTTGTGCCCTCGTGGGTACATCTTACCCCTCACAAGCCCACTTGTGGGAATACACAAGGTTTGTTGTTATATCAGTTGAATTAGAATCAAAATGCTTTTTTCGTAATTGCAAATCATTAGTTATAACGATTTCTGATTTGAGCTCTTAAGGAGTTAAGGTTAAATATGATCACTGCATGATTTTATTTTATAGTTAGAACCTCTGGCAATTCGTATAATGAGACTCAAGTTCTTCTTTCTTAACTTTATTAAGTACGGGTAACTCATTTAAGTTTTATGTCCATTGTTGGCAGAGCTATCTGTTATTGATATTCTAGATGATGATGGTCCAAGTAGCACCCTTGAACAAGATGTTGGACATGAAGGTCATGTTGCCTTTTCAGTTCAAGGTACAATTTGATATCATCAACTTTGAAGTTAATTGACGACTATATGCACCCACAAGAGTCACTTGTGCTCTCTTAGCTTTTGAGAATCTTTCCTCTTGTGCTATGACAATGATGCACTTTTCTGGTAATGCCATATTGATTTAGTTGTCTACTTGTTTGGTTTTAACCTCAAATAAATAGAAAATATTTAAGGACTGCTCTCTCTGTCCAAAAATTATCTTCCCATTCACTATTCACAGTGTCAAACTTTATTTACTTTGTTTGCCTATTTTCGTTGTCCATTTGATAAAATAATATAGTCAAGTCACCTCTAGTTTTGTTGATCTTTTGAAGTAGTTTTTAAATATGTAATTTTTATTTTTAAATTCCACCCCCATTTTCATATAAAATGATATGAAAATAATTTCAGTCAAACATTGTAACGCATAACGGGAAGATATTTTTTGGACGGAGGGAGTATTTTCTCATACAAACCATTAGTGAGTACCTGAGCTTTAAAACTAGTTTCAAAACTAGGAATGCCTAAAAAAGACAACTTTCCATCCACAGAACACATTTTTTTACTTTGTACGCTATGTTCATGTATTGGGTTGCATAGGAAATTTATTATACTTCTAAATTCAATTGAAGATATCAGGGACATACATCTCTGAATAGCATAACAATGACAACCAAAAAACATATTATAATCCCAACTCTCCCGGGGTCTTCGGGCAGNCCAGCTCCCCTTTCATTGGGGGTCAATATGTACACAGTCCTATCTCTTACCTAGGCAAAACACAGATAAGTTAGTTTGTGTTTTGCTGCATTTACTAGCTAAAAATTCATAGAAACACCGAAGCAAAGGATGTTGATTGTGTCGTTTTGATGTAGTTCATTATTTACCGCATTTTACCCTAAGTGTAGACATTGTCAATAATGACCCTTTCCATGGACACAAAATTTAGAACATTATAAAACTTGGAATTTTTATCTCATTGAGGAAGTATTTTACCTATTAGATATGTTTCTTTTTTCAAAAACTAAGAATCTTCATCTTTTCTACCACCCAAATGAAATCTTCATGTTTTGGATACCGTGCTAATGGATTCTCTTTTGATAATAAAATTTGTATGTTATTACTTCTGTAGTCATTTGAAGATGGCTTTGTTGTTGTATTACTTCTGTAGTCATTTGAAGATGGTAGTAAGATACATGCAAGACTAGATTATGACTAGGAATGCATAGCGCATATTGATATTAATGGTATTTTATCAATCAGGTTTAGGTAAAGTGAATGCAGAAACACCAATTCATTCACCAGAGAGGCCTGTCAGGTAGTTGCAATATACTCTGTATATTGATAAAACATTCTGCTGAGCTTGTACTTCCTAAAATAATAGAATGTGTATGGTAATATAAGGTGTGCATATAATGTACTTCCTCTGTCCCATTGGAATTTTCAAGTGCCATTGGCACAGAGATCAATCAATTGAAAGAGTGTGTGATTGTGGTTTACTCCATATTTAAAAGAAGAGAAAATATGAAAAGTACCAGTGAGATGGATGAATTAATATTATAATGATGGTAGTGCATGGGGAGATGCTTCAATGGCGAGTGGTCATTCTGTATATTATGACATTTCTAAAAAGAAAAGCCATGATTTGGGTAACATGATGATTATCATTCTGGATCAATAATTGATTGTAGAGGAAGTTCTTTTCCATCATAAAAAAGCACCTCAAAGTTTGTATTAGTTAGTTATCATGTTAGGCTTTTCATTGTTGTAGCTTTGGATTTATTCGGCTGATGATGCCAATTATTGGCTTTGTCAATTATCTAGCTGCAGAAACTTTTCGTATGGACAGTGTTTGCCATTGAAAGAGAGGGTAAAAACTCACTCATCAATCAAAACTACTGGCAGGCCAGACGGCCTCAACCATGAATTGGTAGGAGCAGTTCTTTTGGTGATTGACTTAAATATGAAATCTGTTGATGCTTAATTAAACAATAAACTTTCAAACAAGTGTTTCTATCTTTTCTTTTTATCAAAAGAATTGGTATACTTCTGGGTTTTGGGAGGTGTAAATACTTTATACTAATTACGTAGATACACAAATTGCAGGCCACTACGATGAGGGATATCAGAGAGTCCATATATAAAAGTTCGGAACCATCTTTCTGCTCTAGCAGCATTGACGACTTATTTTGTTGCCCAAAGAAGGACTTGTTTTCCAACAAAAAATTATCTAAAGTTAGTGATTATGATACTAATCTGGATGACATTTTTGAAGATGATGAGCTGTTTGGAAATGAGAGGAAAAAGAACAGTCAGAATGGTGAGATTCATTTTTGTGCATAATTTTATTTTATGGTATGTATTACATATTTACATGTGGTTCTTTAAGGGGATAATGCAGTAGTATGGCTACTTGATGTTGTGAATAGATACAAATTTATTTAAAGTACTTCTGCAAGCTTTTTGAGTAAACATCAGAAATCAGGATGAAAGATTGACCCACGGTTTTCACATGCATAATGAAATTCCAAATCTGCTGTATTGTGCTTGGCTTTACCCGAAGCTTCTTATTCTTCTATATACGTGAAAGGGGCATGGAATTTATTGTCTACTTTTGAATCTCAGCCACTTCCTCGTTTCTACCTTATGGCATTTGTGACCAAGAAGAATATGGTTTTCCTTGTAAGGGCGAGTTAGATGAATTGGAATTTTGTTCTAGTCATCCTGCAGATAGAAGTAATGATCACCAAGATTTCTACTTTGAGAGCCATCAGTGGAAGAGGTAGTCTTTTGGTATCTCTCAGTGGTATATTTAGAACCATTAAACTTATTATTCTAAGTGGATTTAATTGTGTGCATCTGCAGCACCAGGATGCAACCCCCATTTGAAATCAATTACAGAGGTGCTTTTTGTTTTGTTAATGTTGTGTAGTCTTTGATTTTATAACCATGTTGCTTCATTTCATATTTCCAATGTTCTTTATATGCATGATAAATGGGGATAAGCTTTTTACCTTGTTTTCTTTATTCAGATTCCCCTTCTCTATTTTCCAAGCATCAGACTCAACATTACTTTGAAGATTCAGACCCGAACATAAAATGGTATGATTGCATGAGTTGCTATTTTCATTTTTTTATCTAGGGTATACAGTATACACTACATCCTTAATAAAATAGTCTTGTTTGACCAATGTACAACTTTTTTTTTACGTTGGTGAAGTACAAATGTCATAAATCATAAAAGTATAAAACACACATTTCAAATTTATTTTGTATATTTTTAACTAAGAAATATATGCATAAATAGTCTCCATGGTCTTCCATAAGTGGGTAAGTAATCCACGAATTTTCAAAAAGTTGCAAAATAGTCCTTGTGGTCAAAGAACCGTTGCATAATTAGTCTTTTAAAAAGATGTGAAGAATGCATAGTGCACGCATGTTATGCAAGGATGTGATGCATGTGACAATAAAAAACTCATCTAGACTTTTTAATTGTGATAAGTAAGCTTGAACTGTTTTAGGTCTTCTATCTTTCATTTCAACTCTCCCAACTTCTTCATGTTTTCCACATAGTAGTACAATGTTCTAAATGAGCTAAACATTATTCCGTCTTCAAGTATCTTTATTCTAGAGTAATGTCATGTGGTCTAAGAGGTGGAAGAAGACCCTTCCATGCTTTTAATCATGAAGATGAGGGTAATCTCTTCTAATTCATTTTTTTATCTTGTTACATGCTTCACAATTTTGCATAATATGTGCGTGCTTCCCGTTTTTCCCAAAGGACTAATTTTGAACCAGTTCTTTGGCCATAGAGACTTTTACAACTTTCAAAAGTACAATGACTATTTACCTACTTATGGAAGAGCACACCGTCTATTTATGCGTAAAACTCTAAAACTAAATTTATCATTTTGTTAAATCAAAGTGGTCTGTTTTTTTAATAGAAAAAGTGTTTGATAGAGGACCATTTTATGGGGCGTAGGGAACATACAATTTGTTTTGAAGATCTATTCATAACGTGTAAGCCTTTGTAATTTGTGAACCAGCAACTACTCTATAGAAACCAGAGGGTATTGTTTTGTGGAAAACAAAAAACGGACAGCTCCCTCATGCTCTGCAAGTGATGACATGATGGATAATCTGAGTTTTCCGAGGTCAGTAGTTGTCGACGTTCTTCTTGTTGATACTATGTATGGTATCAGTTAAATTGACTTGGTTTCACGCTGACAAAACTTTTCTTTCAACGCAATGCCAGTGAAGAATCATGCTTCTTTTCTGCTGCAGGTTTTTTACTTATCCCATTGCTAAATTATACTCCGTAATCTGTAGTAGTTTGGGCCCCAACTTCTCTCTTTCCTTTTATTCTTCTGACAAATGCATCAAATTTTGAAAAAGTCAAGGGTTTGTTTGGGCTCCTGAAAATGCTCGGGAAAATAAATAAGATGGAAATTTTGTAGAGATAAAATTTGAAGAAAATATCTGATGGAGTGATGGGTTCAAAGTCAATAGATCAATTTTAGACTTATTTTGTTTATATATTTTGTATGACATGAAAGCTAAGAAATCTATTACGGAGTACTATGTAATTTACTCCATCTGCTCTAAGAAATAGTCTTGTGTGAACAAACAAGCTAATTTTGTCTTATTTAATGTATTCCTAAAAAAAGTGTTCCAAACTCCCAAACAAGGTTATTGTTCTAATAAAGTTTGATTTTACTTCATAGTTCCCAATACTAAATGAAAAAAATTACTCTATTTTTTCTTCTTTTGCCCTACCTTTTTCCAAGTTTCAAACAGACCCTAAAACCTCTTTCCCCCTTCTCATGCCTCTCTATTTCCACTTGCTAGTGAAGGGTGATTTGTTGGGATCTACCATAGACCACCATGACATGGACAATCTTCTTCATAAAAACACAATGGAGACCAAGAACAGATTTTGCAATGGCGATGGATGGACAGAAAGCTTCTCAGATTACCCAACTACTGCTCAAGAAAGATGGCCAGATCAGAAAAACCATGGATTGATCTCAAAGGACCTACACAGTCTAGATGAAGACTTCATGGGTTTTACTCGCGAACACCTGGGCTGCTCCAAACAACTACCATTGGAAGAACCCAATATCATTCCGAAACCAGCCATAATCATAATCTCAAACACCATATCTGCTGGACCGAGTGTGCCGAACCTATTTCAGCCCAAGTCCTCCATCCACAAGACCAGAGAATGCATCTCCCAGGCTAGCATGGTTTCATCATCATCCGACCAGTTGGGCGATCACACCACAAAGGAACCAAAATGCATAACCCCAGATGTAACTGAGACTACAAACAATGGGTCCAAATCTATGATGGAACAAGCTGATGAGGCTTCTTCATGTGCAGATATTGCAGCTGGAGATCAAGGTAAGGCTATATCTGAATAATGCTAATATGATTACTTCTTATTAGGTTGGTGTTAAAAAAAGACAAAAAAATGTACTTTTTGGTCTTTGAATTGGTTACCCTCTACTACTTGAGCTGGGGGTTCTCCGGCCCACTTTGCCAGTTCATATACTAAAACACTGGTTTAGTTGATCACTTTCCTTTTCCAAAAGAGATTCATAGGGTTATTTGGTTTGAGCCTTTGCACTATGTTTGGTTAAAGGAATTTGGAAGGAAAAGAAAAGAAAGTCTTTTTCTTTTATTCTCTCACCAAAATGGGAGAAATTTTATTTTCCCTCGTCTTTATATATTTTGTCTTCTCATTTTCTTTTCCCTCAACTTTTCTTTTCTTCTCTAACTAAACAAGAAAAATTGTTTTCTACCTCATTTTCTTTTCTTTTTCCCTTTCAAATTCCTCGAAGCAAACAAAATGTTGAGGGGTTGGGGAGGAAAATAAAGGAAAAGAAATAAAATGCAAAAATGGTTTTCTTCCTCATTTTCTTTTCTTTTCCTCTCAAACTAAACAAGGAAACTCATTTTCTTTCTCTTTCCCTTTCAAATTCCTTGAACCAAACGATGTACTCGGGGGAGGGAAAGAAAAGAAAGGAAATGAGGAGAGCCAAGGCCGAGAAGGTGTTAAAATAATAACATTATCTTGTTTGGTTTGTTGGGAGGGGGTAAAAAGCCGAAGGAAAGAGACGAGGAGGAAAAATGATAAATTTCCTTTGTTTCAAGCGCCATTGGAGTTTTGATGCTACTCTGCAAAGATAGAAATGTTGCTTTGGCTAACTTTTGATGCATTGCCGCATTTACTATCTAAAACTTAATTGAAAGTAGTAGTTTTAATGCAACGTATTATAACTCTTTGATGAAGGAAAGAAGAGTTCAATGATCCTAAAATGTACTCCCCTGTCCCATTTTATAATGCCTGTTTCGGTTTACGAAGTTTGACTGAAATTATTTTCAAATCATTTTATATGACAAATGGTATAGAATTAAAAAATAAAAATTACATATTAAAAAACTACATCAAAAGATCTACAAAACTAGTAGTCACAGTACTATTTTGTTTTATCAAATTAATAACGAAAATAGAGAAAGAAAGTGAATGAAGTTTGATCTTGTGAATAGTGAACAGACATTATAATTTGGGACGGAGGGAGTAAGTTTAATGGGTCCACTAAATAGATTTCACTAGGCAAATTCTATGGTAGACCTAGGATCAAGTTGGGGTGAGGGGTGGGGGGGGGTTAACAAGAAGGTTAGATTGTAAGAACCATTAATATTACGAATGAAGTAACTTAGCTTCACTAAGGCATCCCATGACATGGGGTTTGAATGTCACGCGGGTCATACATTCAATCCGTTTATAATCCACTCCGCATTGACATCCGTTTAAGTAATAACCGTTTATCCATGTATCCGATTCGTTATATTTAGTGTTTTCTATTTTTTATTTTTTTATTTTGTTTCTCTACTGATATCGCAAAGTATAAGTCACATTTATATGCTAAATATATGTGTAGACATATAAAAATATGCGTTTATATGTGTTGTGTATATCTTTTTATCATATGAATTCGAAGTTGTCGTAGAATATCGTAAATTAAAAAAAAATAAGAAAATAATCATCCCAAAACAAACTATAGTTGCTTTAATAATATTTTGAGTTTAATTGAATTGAAAATCAAAGTATTGTTTAATTTCAGTTTAAAAATTGGAAATAGATATGGATATATCCAATAACCGATCGATATCCGATGAATGCGGATACAGTTTAAATTTTTAGTATCCGTCAAGGTCCGTATCGGGATTCGATATCCGATAAAAATAAAACGATACAAAATATCTGTTTACACCCTTACGGCATATAGTTCAATTTGTTTTTATAAATTTGAAAACGAATACGATTATATCCAATATCCGACAGACGCAATTTTAGTTTTTTACATTTGTCAAGATCTGTATCCGAATTCAATATACGATAAAAAAAGTTTCCACCTTATGGCATAATACAACCTAGATTATAGGACTCCTACGAGTCCCCCACCTAATAAATAGAATTAAGCTAGGGGTACACCAACATGGGGTATCCCAAGTGTACACCAAAGCCAAAACAGACACACACAGAAACAAAGTGTCTGTGTTGCACAAACATTTTGTGTCTGTATTGGCTTGGTGTATACTTGGGATATCCGGTGTACCCCTAGCATTGCCCAAATAAATATGTAGGTGAAATATGACCTTAAAATATTAAGGCAAGCTTTCAACACACCAGTAGCATCTTTGATGAATTAAAATTCTAAAAAAAAAAGCAGCATCTCTTTATTAATTATTACCAACCAAATCAAATTTCTTACTACTCCCTAAAAACACGGAGGTGTGCCGCCGCCGTAGTCGGAGGTTTTTCTGTCGAGTCCGGGTTTTTCTGTCGCGCCGCTGGTTTCTGCCGGAGGTGTGCCGCCGCCGTAGTCGGGGTTTTTCTGTCGAGTCGCCCTGCCTCGCTGCTGTACTGCCGCTACTGAAGCTTGTTAAAGAGCATCCATATCTATAGCATTTTTCAAAATTATCTTTTTGGTTTTTATTCGATACCAAGTTATCATTATTTCCGTTTTTTGAATCATCTAAATTTGAATTTCGCCTAGAATTCCCTTTCTGTAAAGATTGTTTATTAAATTTATTACATCTATTAATTTTCTTTCGCCAAATTTCAAATTCGTTTAAATTTAAAATCTATGTTCATGACACCCTCGATTTTAAATAGTTATAATTATTTTCTTTCCCCAAAATTCCTCGTGAAATTCATGACTAAGGTTGGTCATGTGTCATAACTAACTTATGCCATCTTTTAAAATGATTAAAATTTAAGCAATAATTTACGAAAACATTTAATTTCGATATTCTAATTTTACAAACTACGGTTCAGTGATAAATAAGATTGTTTGTTGTTTTTTTTTTTTGTTTTTTTGTTTTTCCTTCTTTCGCTTTTTTTTGTGCTACCTAGGACGTAACCAACTAGGCTAACTTGTGGTCAGTTACAAGTAACAATGTAGTTATATTTTCTTCTTCACATGTTATATATGTCAATAGTTTCAACCTGGCAATCCAAAACTTATAACTTCACATACAAAAAAAATGCACACAAGATACATGATAATCACGATACTAGATTCTGTTTTAGGACTAATGGAAATACAATATTTATTATATCACAAATTATTGTTTTCCCCGCATGTTCCATATGTACATTGAGTTAAATTACTCTCTTACCAGGATGGTTTTTTTAAGAACTACTTTGACACAATATTTAATGACCTTCTATGATCATTCCATGTCATGATTGTTTAGTCTTCGATAAGAAAACTCATATCTCACTAGACTAGAAGCGTCCCCCTTTTGTCCAGTCATATCTTTGCGACTATGCGGTGGTACCAAACTGAATTACATCTCTGCACTGATTCTAGGTTGCCATGCAGTCTATTTATTAGTCTCTAACTTTGTATCTTGTATACTACCAATATCTCGATATAAATTTATAAACTATTTTCACAATAGCTAAATAATGTGGTAACGCCCAAGGTAATATCTTGTATTTTCTATTTTTTTATTACCTCCGTCCCGCTATATTCGTCCACTTTTGACTTTTGGAATTGTTCATCTAAGTACTTTGACTCATCAAATTCTCTCAATGTGTGAGCCTAAATATAGTCATGTGTGATCTTGTTTGATTTGTCTTAACATATAGATTATTAATATATAATTTCTATAATTTTTTAATATACAAATTACAAGATAAAATGGATTAAAGAAGTTTATTGGATGATGTGTAAGAATGAAAGTTGACAAATACTCTGGGACGGAGGGAGTATATTTCAATCAATTTCAAAACTATGTGCATTCCACACAAGTTTAAGGCCCAACAACGATACCTGCTTGGAGGAAGCATTGAGATGTGGTCGTACCTGTAGAACCATTTTTGTTTTAAAAATAAGTTTTCATTCTCTTATTTCTTTTCCATCAAATGCTTTTTCTTGATTCTTTTTTTTAAAATTTAGGTCAGAAGATCATTTTATAAACCAATTTCTCTGATACCAAAATGCAACACCCCACCCTGGGTGACCTGAGTCATCCAGACCAGAGTGCTAGTAAAATCTGGTTGCTTAGTAAAACATTTTTTATTTAAAATAAATTTTCATTCCGATACTAAAGAGCTTAAAGATTTTTTTTCAAGAAGTAAAAAGAGTAATAACATTCATAAGTAAGTACAACTTGGGGTTCAAGCCCAAACCAAAATATGTTCAATAATTTATTCAACTATTTATTTAAAACAGAATTTCCTTTTTTAGCACGGCCT